TTTTTAGCTCTTTGATAGTCTTGTCAAAGCCCAAATACAAAAAAACTTTATTTAACTATTAACATAGCAAATAAATTATATTTTCATTAAATTGCAAACCTGATATTTCCTGGCTATGATACACTATACTCAGAAGTGACTTGTTATACTAACTTCAAAAAAATCTAGTTAGAAGACTTTGTTAGTCTGTCAAGAACTAATCTTTTTTTTTTACCAAGAGTACAAGAAAGTAAAATTTTATATTACCAATACAGAATTAATATTAAAAAAAAAAAATGAAAAATAAAACTAAAAACAAAAATATATAATAAAAGAAGGATCAAAAAGAAAAGAAATAAAGAAGTAGAAGAATATAAAAAAAGAAAAACAAAGAAAAAAGCTTTTATAAGCTAGCCAATCTACCTCTATTAAGAAATAATTTGTAGTCAAATAGTAAAAATTATATAACTAATGCAACTATAGTATATCTTGATTGTAATATTTCACTTCAAATAAAATCTTCTTTCCAATATACAACCAAATCTAAATACTAGTTAAATAGAAGGTTTCAATCTTCTGTAGATAGCACTATGTTTACTTTTATAATCACACTAAACACATGGTTGCAATTCATTTGGTTGTCTTAATTTGAAAAGAGTAAACAATACTAATCTTTTGACAAAAGTAAGCTGTTTTGTCTACTTTTTTTAAAATTTTATTAAAAGCACAAGTGGGTGATAGTAAAGAATATAAATCTAGTACTTTTCTTTAAAAAGAGTATGTGTTTCTTCAAAAGTAGTAATACAAATAGATCTGAGCACATTGCTGATTTTTTTTTTGGTAAGTGATAAACTCTAATCTTGTTAACAAGTAGCATATAAAAACTACTTCTAAATAACAAGTACTATCCTTATACTATAGTAAGTGATAAGCTTTAAACCTATTAGCAGATAGTGTATAAGAACTATCTCTAAATAATAGATGCTAGTTTATAGTTTTTGCCAGTCTTATATCTTTCTTCTCTAACATAGTTTTACTGTTTTTGTTAAAAATTTGGTTTTAAAAAGTTGGTCTAAGAGATCATTTGGAAAAAAGCTTTTTTTATTATATTGTTGTTTTGTTCTTATTTTGTATTTATTTTCTTTTTTAAGTATTTTTTCTTGTTTTCTTATCTTATCTCTTGTATTTGTTATAGTTTTGTTTTTGTTTTATCTTTGTCTATATATATTTTTTATTCTCTATATATTAAATTAAATAATATAGTTAATTTATTAAAATTTTAATATTATAGTATTATTGTTTTTTTTAAACTCTTTTTAATATTACTTGTACTAACAAAACAACAAAAATTTTTTTGCAAAAAAACAATAAAACTATATTAGTAATAAAGAATATAAGATTAAAAATAACTATAAAATAGTATATATTATTTAGAAATAGTTTTTATATACTATCTAATAATCAACTTAGAGATTCTTACTTTCTGTAGAAATAGTATTTGTTATTTAAAAGTAGTTCTTATATACTATTTACTAACAAGTTTAAAGTTTATTACTTATTAACAAGAAAATTAACAATATATTTAGCTCTACTTGTTTTATTATTATTAAAAAAATATATATTTTTTTAATTATAATACAAAATCTATTTTTTTTATTTTTACTTGCATTTTTAACAAAATTTTTATAAAAAGTAACCAAAATAGTTTATCTCTATTAAAATATTGGTATTGTTTACTTATTCTATTTTTAAATAATATAGTAGATAACAATCATATATTTTGTTTATTAATAAATATAATACTACTTTAAAAGTTAGATCTGCAACTAATAAAATATCTGTTAATAGTTATATACCCAAAAAAAAAAGTTATATATTAAGACAAAACTTTATAGTAAAGATATATAATTAGTTGTAATTATTATATAATTTTTATTAATTTAATATAAATTATAATAGTGCAATATTACTTTTAGAGTTTTTGATAAGTTTTTTCTTTTTTTTGTTAGCTCTTATTAGATTTAACTTTGTTTTTTTTATCTTTATCTTTTTGTATTTTAGTTTTTTGTTTAGATTATATAACTATTCCATTTTAGATCACTATTTTTTTTATTTTTTATTTTTCTTTTTTGTTATAAGTTTTTTTTTAATTTTTTTTTTTTATAAAGAAAAAGACTAATATAGCTATTCTACCAAAATCTAAATAGAAAAAATTAAAGTTAGTTTTTAACAAGGCTAACAAAGTCTTCTATTTTATCTGTAAAACAGTATAACAAGTTATATTTAAATATTCTCAAAAATACTAGATTTTAAAAATTTTAAATAAAATATATATACTATTTTTTTTTAGTATATAAAATATATTTTTTAAAATAAAAATACCAATAAAATTGTCAAAGAATTAAAAAATAAATAAATAAATAATATTATTGTTTTTGTTTATATGGTAGTAATTCTTAGCAATTATAATTTTTAGTTATATATAGTAGCCTATTATATTATTGTAGACACTTTTAAAAAATTTATACAGAGCTGAATATACAAGATATTAAGCTAAAAATTAAATTATAAATTTTTTAAATCTATAACTTTTAAATAAAAAAAAAGTTTAAAAAATTCTATACAGTACTTTTCGAGATAATTAAGGTTATACAAATTTGTAAAATATTATACAAAACAGAAATTAGTAATTTTTACAAATTTGTTATAACAATTTTTATATATTAAAAATTAATATCTTATTAAAATAAAATTATTAATATTTATACAACTCTTTCTGTTGATTACTGTGTCCAAAACTGAAGCAAAAGAAAATCTAGATATAGAGCATCTTATACTAAGTAAATATACAAAATAGTCTTAAGATAAAAGGTCAAGTCAAAAAAATCAACACTAGGTTAATACAGTGTTGTATATTTTGGCTGTCTAAAGCCTTTTTTGACTTGTCTATATCCAAAATTGTCCAAGTGTCCAAGATTGTTCAAAGCTTGTTTAGGCTTTAATAATTAATAAATCTATTTAAAAAATATATAACTATATATTTTTTTAGGTGCTGAATTTATTTTAATTAAAATTAAAATTAAAATAGATTATCTTAATAAAATTTCAAGTAATTTTACTTTATTTAATTGTCCAAAATTGTCTAAGATTGTCTAAAGTATTGTCCAAAGCTATTCTATGACAACACTGGGTTAATAGAGCAACCAGGCCTGCTATGAGCTTCGAACAACTTTTTTTTTAGAAACTTTAGTTTTTGAAAAAATTTCAAAAAAATTTTTTTATTTTTCTGGGGATACTACTTCTACCCTATTCTGCAAATCAGTTTTACAACAAAACAAATAAATACGAATAGAAATAAACAAATAAACAAACTAATCTAATAAGTTAGTAAGCCAACTAGATATTAAACCAACACAACAAACTAACAAAAAAACACATGATAATATCAAATAAACAAACAAAACACATAAAATATTGGAACTTATAGACTACAAAGACTTTTTTAATAAAACTAAAAAAGAAAAAAAAAAAATACAAGACAAGCAAAATAAAAATTATAGGAAGAAAACCAAAAAGTAGCAAAATATTTAAGCACTAGCAAAGTATATTTAGTTGCTATTATCTGAAATGTAATACAGCACTATGATTAGGCTTAATACAAGAATGCGAGAAATCAAAATTTAGAAAAAGAAAAGAAAATTTTGATAAAAGAATTGGGCAACTCTTTTATGAAAATAGATTGTACAAACCACTATCCAGAAAATAGCACTAATCACAAAAACAATTCAGAAATGATCAACTTTACAATTACTTAATTAGAGTTCTTAGATAACAAAGAAAATAAGAATACAAAATCACAGATGAAAAGCGATAGAAAGGCTAAGCTAATCCAAGCCCCAATTGACAAAACTAAAGACAACATAAGCTTGAATATTCTGAAAAATACTGATATTAAGCTATCACCAATAGAAATCTCTCCTATACAAAGCAAGAAACCAACAAACCAAACCTATATAAAGATAGAAATCAAAGATTCTAAGCCACAATGCAAAAAGGGCCTTGTGAACAAAGAAGGCTTTCCTGATTTCTCAGAAACTAAGACAGATATAAACAAAAATATCTTAATCAAAAATAAATGTGATACTCTAGATTATAGCTTAGAGGAAAAAAAAGAAAATAGCCTACAAGAAATCTCAGGAAAAAAAACCAAAGTGAAGCTACAAAAAACCAAAATGATATGAAAATATATACAACTTTATGTAGGTTCCAAAGAGCAGTCTAACAAACCTAAAAGATATATATACATCACACTACTACTTCACTCTCTGGGATTTACCTCTAGACTTAAAAGCAGAGAAAATAAAGAACTACTTTAGCTACTATAGCATAGTAGCAATAATCAACTAGCAATACTTATTCAATTCAAAAGCAGCTTATATTAGAATCTCTCCAAGTATAGAAACAAAAGACAATCTCCTTAAACTCTACTGGTTAGTCTCACTTAGCCAAGGCAAAACATATCGAACTAAACCAGAAATATTTGACTTTAAAAAGCTCGAAGAAAAAAATAGATATAAAGCTACAATTCACAATGTGCCAAACTCAGCACTAGACAGCCTTCTACTTTAACAACTAAAAACTTATAATGTTCAAGCAGTTCATATTCTAACTAATCACAATGAAAACCGTTGTAAAAGAGCCCAACTATACTTCAAAACAGAAAAGAACTTAATACAAGCCTTTAACTCAGAAATATATTACTTTAATACGAAACCATAATGGCAATATACATGACTAGTTATAAGTACCAGAAAGTCCCAAACCTATCTACCAAGCCCAAAAGATAAAAACAACACCCAAAATAACAAAAAAAAGCAATGAGTTGCTAAAACTGAATCATATAAAAACCAAAGCCTCTCTTAAAAACCAAGATATATCAAGCATTCTTCCAGGATGAAAGTTCTTTACAACTCTAATAAAGAGAACGAATCAATTAAAAAAAAGCTAAGTCTGTTTAAAGAAAAGCTCCAACCTAACAAAGAAGAAGAAAGCACTGCTGGTTCTTCCTAGTATCTGGATATTGAAGGATTGGTTGGTATACCTAGATAAAATCAATTTTGCTGCTAAGGTTGGCTCTGTACTATGTGTGGGCAGACTTATGAGAATATAAGGCCCGATCATACATGTTATTAAATGCTAAGTATTGAAGAAGTTTGTATTTGATCGATTAGAAGTAGATGTTTTCTGTAAAGGCATTGAAGTCTTTTAGTATTATTGGAAGAATGTTTAGTGCTCTGGTCTGTTGTAGCTATTGGATGATAATATTCTGAGTTTGTAGTTTGAGGTTTGAATTATCAGTCAGGGAAGATGTCACACTGAATGACAAATTATAATAAAAATTATAATAAAAACATATAAATTTACTATAAACTTTAAGCTAAAAATCCTTTTAAACCTACATATTAACTTATTTTCAAATTTTGAACTTAAATATATTGAATATAGTAGAATAAAATCACT